TTCGTTAAATAAGGCCTATGTAAACAATGTTGGCTTTTGCTTAGATGTTTTGATCAACATTTTATGAGAAATAGTAGATGTCTGGCCTTGACGGGTATTAAACTGTCTAATCGCTTTCGGTTTTGTACTCTGGCTCCCCATATATGGTCTCCTCCTGATTTGAAATGAACTTTAACTGCTAAATACAACGAAATATGCTGCTGCAATGTCTAGTAATTTGGTTTTCGGTCGGTTGTAATTGGCATAGTCAATACTGAAGGCCGTGTTGCTTGAAAATAAACTCCAAACTCTTCATTTCTAGTGCGACCCCCGAAGACTGGTAAATTCGGAGTTGGTGCATAATTAGTCGGTAATTTTGAATAGTGCACAACAAGTCACATGAAGCCAAATGATTGAATAAGGTTAAATGAAACTCATTAGACATTCTTTTGACGATTCATCGTTTCACATCGTTTTTGTGTAACATTAAGGTGCCATTATGTGAGAATCATTCAACAGCTCTTTCATGTAATTACCATATCCTTCCTCCTTTGTACTTTTGCTCTTCAGATGGCCTATCAGCTGTCTCCCTGTAGTCCACACCACCTCTTACCCACTTTCGTGATTGGAAGTTGAGTTGAATCGAGTCCTGCCCTTGAATGCATCAGATTCATAAAGCCTAATCTATGTGGTTTGGATCAGCACAGTCAAGCGTCAGAAGCTTGACAGCAATTGGACGAATGGTGAATGCTTAGAATTGGTGGAAATATCCCCTCACGATTCGATCATTGGTTCAACGTTTCAAAATATTGTAAAAAATGTTTGAAATGAAGTCAGCAGTAATTATTTTCGATGGTGCCATAAGCAACTGTTCAAACTAGAACATTCTGCATTTACTTATAAATCGCATTGTGATGGTTTACCCCGGTGTGCATGTTTTTGGGTTTCGAAGTTTTCAAGAACACTTTTAAATGTAAGAAGTGTCATTAACTTAGTATCTTTGATGAAATCGGCACGGTTTTGTGGGCTTTCTGCTAGCACAACTTATATCTAGGAAATAGAAATCTAGATACACACCATTGGGTTTAGTCACACCATGGCTGTCACCGAAATGCCATTTGCATTTATTTCAGTGCAGTTGTATGGTTCGTCGTAAGACACGTGGGCCAACCACGAAGCCACGCTAACAGTCTGCAGCCCTTTTCCACAAATCTCCCTTGGCTTTGAGGCAAGTGTATTGAATTCGATAGCATTATCTTACAACCCACCTAGTTGAGTGCCCATAACAATCTATGGAGAGGCAAAATAGGCGACAGCGGACATTGCCGTTTGTTAGCATCACGCCAGCCACGTGTATTGTGTGTGGATGACAGCCGACTGATAACAGGAACCAATGAAACAGGGATGTGCCATTGACACCATTAAACAGGTTTCGTCCAGGCGCGATCGCTGACTGTCCGCCATGTAAGATCTTAGCAGCACTCTCGAATTTGCTATTCGACTACCGAAAAGGATGTTCAGCATCCTTAATGGAGATCCTAACCATGAGGTCGAGATGCAAAGTTTGTGTTTACTGGTGTTTCTTTAGTGGACATTCACTAAGGTGTCTTACACATAACATTAAGAAGTCACCTAGTTGGGTTATCAGTTTGTTATTAGGAAAACTAAACAACGCTAACCAATTTGCACCTAAGAACCACAATAGGGTTAAAACAACTGGGCCTCTGAAATAATGCAAATAACTAAATATGCGGTATTTAAGTGGTTTTAATAAAAGTCAGGGTATAGGGATAGCATAAAATAAGTGGTTGAGCAGACCACCGGAATTTATACGAAGTATAAAGGGAGTTGAATTGATTGCATGTTCCCAACGCGAAAAGAAATTCATCTGCCCACCTGTTCAGCAGAGTCAGTGATTCAATTATTGGCTATTTGTTATTGCAATGGCTTTGCTACCTCTGGAAAGGTGAATTTGAAGATATCCCCTCCGGAGGAGAAGAAGGCCGTGGAATTTAGGGTGGTGGAAACACAAAAATGGTCAATTTTTCTATTACTAGGTTTCGTGAGTCTCTGTAGATTAGCGCTTTCTTGTTCCATAGGCCAAGCGATTAGTGCAAGGCTAGTCCGTTCCGTATCAATGGCGAGTAAGTGCTCCGAATCCAAAGCGAAGATGGGACCTGCTGGAAATGAATCAAAGTTCCAGGAGATCACCCGAAGCCATTCCTTGGGACTTCGCACATTACCATCAATTTCACATTTAGGCTGAACCCCAGGAAAGGAAAATAATCGTCTTGATACCGTTTGTGAAGCATTGTCCCACCGACCCACAGAAGCCCAACACTGGCCTCTGGCACACGACTTTGTAATCCATTCGGGAAAGTAGTGGGTCTCACCTTTTCGCATGGTTATCGAGAAAATCCGGCGCTCAAAATAAGGAGTTAGTTTGCATATTTGAGTAGTCAGTGGAACGCCCGAAGTATTTTCTGGGTCTGAGGAGCACGCCATCAGTAGGCAACCATCAGTATCAACGTCGAGGGCAAGGTACCGTCGGTAGGAATGCTTGCGGGTCTGAGCAACCAAGTGGCCGTCAGTCGAAAAGCATGCAAGAAGATGAGACGAAACATTATCTGTCTGTGAGTAGCCGATGACGTAGACTTCCTTCGTCTCTCCCTGAACACTCCGTAGACAGATAGACGAGGGAATCAATTCTGTCGATTCGGAAGTTCTTAAGTGCAACTTTGTCACAGACATTCCCCTCTGTTCCTTAGGTGATTCGCAGATCAAATTGGGTGGAATTAGGTCAATCTTAAATATGAACGGAAGATTTTGAATAGCAATGTATATAAAATTACTATCTGAGGCTATACATGTAAGCACACAGTCCGAGGTATCAAGCTTGTAAGTAGAGTCTTGAAGGCTGTCGTTGATTGAGGAGAATAATGTATTTCTGTCAAACACCTTTGTTATATGGCACAGATCGGATTTGTTATCGCCTATTTGTTCTTCCACCTTTCCCAGGCTGAGGAGGCCAAAATGATCATTCATGTTTGTGAAGTCATAGTCCTCAACAAGGTCCACTTTCCATTGAGAATTCTTCGACCGGAAAAAATGGTCATTGTTTGACGACCCACTAGGAATATGGATGCTAACAATGCTTGCGATTCTATCCTTAATGGTTGTGGGCTTTAGACGTCTACGTGGGACGTCCGTGGGGGCATTTTCAGTGAGTCCGCAGTAGGCAGGCTCCCGCAATCTTGAATTCAACATAGAATCCGCACGAATGTGTAAGCAACCACATGCTGCAATGTGTTTCCTCAAGCAAATAACCAATCAGCGATTAAGCTTGAAATGTCCTCCAATCAGCGATTAAGCCTGAGATGTCCTCCAATCAGCTGTTAACATTGCACACAGTTTAACGTTCTTGCACGCTCTAGTGGTTTGCTCGCTGTGCGCAGATGACGTGAGCTTCTGAAACTCATGTGATGTCGCGATACTCGTACACTAATTGCCAAAAAGGTGCTACCAAAATCAAAATTCTTTAACGGAATTTTCGCATAAATTAGCGCTACTTAATCACAAACTTGTGTCTCCAGTTTGTTTAGCGGCTTTACAAAGGTACAAATGCAAGTAAGACGTAAGGAGTCTGTGCGACAGAAGGATAAATTACTGCCTCATTCAGACTAGTCTTCCACTATTACCTGTTACTAATCCCTATGCTTGTTCGAGGACACCGCGTGAGCCAGAGATCATTTACTGAGGTTTCGAACCACAGCAGGGCCGCCAAGTCGTGTCGACTTATTTACCCCACGCAGACACCCAGGAAGATCATGAAAACCGTTTATTAGTTCGCCCGACCCACATGTTAGTTTTATGTGTGAATTCAATGTCTTATATTCTTGTACGCCTCAAACTTGTTCAGGCTGATTGTTGACCAATCGGATCCGGGGGAATTAGTCGAAGTATAAACATCCAAAAGGCAAGATACGGACTTGAGAGACATGTGCACACGGGTGCGTGATCAGATGTATCCGCATGAGCGATGTGGGTGCTGAGAAATGTGGAGTATGAGGAGACAGAACTAAGATACGCAAATCATGTGACCCTAGCCTGACCCCCATTTGAATAAATACTAGATTTTAATTAACTATTAAGTTGAAAATATTAGGCGGTGTATCTGGTATAATTCTCACAAACATGTTTCTCAATATATCGTGTTTTAGTTGTATACATCAATCATTTGTAGCTTTAACCGATTGTTTTCGTCACTTGATTCTCTTTTTCCGAATAAATAAATACAACCAAACTACATTGAAAATGACTTTCAACTCCGGAACGCATTCGGAACCTGAGCTTAGATATGTTTTTGGGAATCATGTCTCAGTGCCCAAAATCCGATCACATTCTACTGCTGCGACGGTTACCAAAGGGTACTGTTTAATGTGCGTGTACTTTTACCAGTTCAAACAAATTGTATTGGTCAACATCCTCCAATTAGGCACACAAGATTCTGCACGCGGAGTGATGCTGCCCACACAATACACAACGTGGTTACGCCAAGCGAAAATTAATTCCTAGAGGTGGGTGCTGTTCATGAGGAACGATGACTCATCAAGATGTAAGTTTAGAACGGCTTGAGGGTCGACGATGCATAAGGTTAGCATCTTCGAGTGTGTGGGGTTTTGAAGTAAATCGTGTTGATAAAATTGGCCGCCCAGCCAACTGATCGTTTATCGATACACCCAGACAGTATTGTTAAAAAATTACGTTATTCACGCACCACCTTTGCATAAGCACACACAACAAGGTGACACCTAGGTTAAGCTATCTAGTAAACATTTGTCTCCACCATTCCAGTCTTTGTCATCTTCCTCGATATCGGAGTAACACAATGCAGCAGCCCGGTGTGGTTAAAGACCACATGCCTAGGCCTTCACCGGTTCCTTAGGTTTCATGTCACTTTTTGATAAAACTATGGGCTGGTTTAGACGTATGTTGGCGTCAGTCTAGGATAGGCTTCAGGGGTCGGCTATACAAGTTGACAAGCAAAAAACAGCGCATATTTAAATTAAATGGTTGATCTTTTGACTAAAAATTGTTATGTATAATTTCAAGAACCCCAAATGACAAGTTTTCCAGTAACGATATAAAATCATAATATATTTACTTTATATGATCGGTTCACATGGCAACGGAAAGGGCTATCAACCATGTTGGGAAACCACGCGTACAACCAAAAAGTCTGCAGGTGGTAATGAACTGGCCATGTATCACAAAACAAACCCGGTTCAAACATGAAATTTTACTTACTGTCCCACACCACCTAAAGTAGGCAGAGTGTTACAATGGAAGGACGTGCATAGAAACACCTTAGGCCTTGGTTTTAATAACCACTGAACGTAAATTAAGAAATCGCATCCCAAGTTGGTCTTACAACTGCAATCACCTCTCTATTCAACTTTGTTTGGCAATTTGTTACTGAGTTCTCACTGATTGCGTTTACCTGAGTGTTTGCCAAGCGCCAAATCTATTACACACCATTCTATCGAAATTTGCACACAATCCCATTACACCTAGGATTTTCACAGTTCAGGTGTATCGATGTGGCTTGAGTAGATGTCATCATCTATCATACTTAGCTACCACACGAATTAGTCATCATATTGGTGTGAAAATGCAACACTGCGGGGTTGTGACTCATCAGGCAGGTCGTTGACTAAGCAAAGAAGTTACTACTTCGCTAATGTGAAATCAAAATCACTTTTCTAATATGTCTTTTTGAACCTAATGGTCAATCGAGCATCATCAAAATTCCGGACGAATTTTTGAGGAAGTTTAGTTACCTGAGAAATCAAGTAGGTCACAGCCTCACTAAGTTAACGACGATCTCTTTATATTCATGTAGCATAACTACAACAGCCCTATCAATAGCTTTTATTGTAGTTAATAATGAAGTGATTCCATATGCCAACCGATGGAAAAGAAATAGTCAAGGAGGAGGCAAGGCAAGGGGTTTATATGACACTGTGCTTTAAGTGCATCACACTCCATGTAAAAGTTACTATTTCACAGAGAGTTCGGATTTTCCAACCGGTGACAACTCACAGTGCCAAGCATTTGCGTACCACAGCGTAAATTGACCATTCTCAACTTTCACAACATGCACATGCATCAAGCAATGCAAACCAATTGCAGTCACACGGTGAGTTGTCAAGATTTTCTGTAATGTCTAAGATCGGTAAATGGGGGAAACGGCAGTTGCCAAGACAGCCCAGGATTCAGAAAGCATGTTGGAGTGAAGAAACGGGAAGATAGTCTATTGCAGCAGGCAAAAAACGGAAAAGCCAAGCTTCGCAGACTTCGCATTTTGACAGGCTTAGTAGCGTCCGTGTCCTTTAACATAATGCAAATTCCTAAGTAAACAGAGTATTCACAGATTCACCATTTAGTTCTCTTAACCATTTAAATGAAAAAGAAGTAATGTAGTCATATGATTGCACTATGTGCAGCGGATTATCAGCGATCACGCCTGAGTGAACGCTGGTTACTGACAATGATTCATCCTCTTTTCATTTGTTACTGTTATCAGATGCCTGTCATCCGTTTACTCATCCAAACACTAAGACGCATACTTGGCTGGCGTGACGCTAATAAACGGTCGTGTCCTCTGTTGCCTCCCTTCTCTCCATTCTCGGGTTGTTACGGGCTGTTAATTAGAGGGTTGTAAGGTAGGGCTAAAACTTAAGCTACTAAATATGTTTAAATACAAGTTTGTGTGTTATTAGCATCCCAAATAGCTGGAGGCTGGTTAGACACGGAAATATTGACCAAGTTAAGACAAATTCTCTATTTTTAAGCGGCAAAAGCATTCATTGCCACTAGATATTTTAAAATTGACTGCCAGGTCATTCAACTAAATGTGATCCTTGACGGTCTAGGTAAACGCTCAACTGGGATCAGCTCCAACGATCTGAGTAAACACGATAAGAAAACAAAGGCCTAGAGAAGAGTATGGTGACAACGACCTACCGTTTACCGGCTAAAGTTCGTTGTGATAACCGATTTTTAGCTTGGCAGTTAACAACTTTGGTAGTTGGAACCCGTGACCTTCGCTATAGAATAGTGACACTGACGTAAAAATCTTGTAACTAATGCGTGCTTCGAATACTCATCAAAATGCAAATAAGTCCTGATTCTTTCGACATTAATACGAAGGGAAAAAAAACAAAAAAATGAAATAAGCTGAATGTTTTGAAGGTGATGTAAGGGGTCATTAGCAAGTAAAATCATTTCCTCCAGAGAAATAAGCAGGAAGTTTATCAATGTTGTGGAGGAAGCAAGTGTATTTTAATGCAGCATAGGGAGAAGTATGCGCTCCGTGTCGTGGGTCATTAAATAACGTTTTGCAAATACAGATAATCAATCGTAATGTTGATAAAGTCACTAATTACTACAGCTTTACGGCATAAGTTTCAATAAAAGCATCACGGAAAATCAAACTGACAACAATTGGAATATTGATACTTTCTATCGGCATCAACGATAGAGAGAAAATGTGTCATCGATACATTTAATAACTTTAAGGACGTTACTTACCTCGTTCACTTTACCTCAACCCAGATCGAATGACCCTGGAATGGTGTACCGAAATATACTATTTGACATCATTACTGCTCAACATAGACTTAGTTTTAAATACCCATTCCGTCAAAGAAGTTTCCATGATTGATGCGAGCAGGCAAATACAATAAGTTGGTCTACGAATAAGAAGTTATTGCATCAAGACTCATTTCAAGGTCTTTTGGCATTTGCTGTTAAGGTACTGAAAATAAAATGATGGCGGGGATGCCTGCTGGTGTAAGTTGTGTGGAATACTCAAAAAATTTCCAAATGTTAACTGCAAAGCCAAAACACGGAAGCCAATGTTAACGGGGCTAATTGTGGTAGTTGCTGGGAGTCAGACCAAAGGATTCTGCTGAAAAGGCCACCACACCACTTAAGCATTACGTCAACAGAAAAAAAAACTGTTGACTGTTACGGTTGCTGTCCTCCCGTGACCTTGAGTCCAATCGTTTAAAAGCATTACTTGCACACACACACACACACATGCTAAACTCAGTATGTGAATGGATGGCCCATGACCTGATGAGTGGACTCCACAGGTCAATACAGCCGTCATGATGCGACTCACCTTTCACACATTTCTTTCAAAATAAGTGCTTTGGAGCAGTAGCATAAAATGCACAGGTTTATAGTGCATCTGAACGCATTTGGTCGGTATATTTACGCCCGCATCTGTCGTCACCTTCGGCAGGTGCTAAACGCAAGGCTGTGTGCTGTGATGCCATGAGTGGTTCCAATCTCACATAGGAACGGACTTGTATTACGTTATAACAAGAACGTTGCATCAATCATCAAACATTAACTTGTGATTTGCCTTGGCAACGTGAGGTCTCAAAGAGTCTTTTTAAAATCCTTCCTCTAGCGATGACAACATCTCACTTTTTTGAAGGAGTAGCGCGAATCTTTGCGTCGACGTATCGGGCATGTATGCTATCGTGACTGCTGCCTCACACACGAAGAAACTAACATGTTCCGGTTGACCTCGAACCACGGTCTAGGTGTCACGATGCATTTCAAGATCTTAATTCCCATGGTAACCTTGATTAATGGTTTATACATACACAAAATGACACTGACATGTTCGGGAAGCTCGCGCAGTGTTTTTGTCTTAATGGTGGTCAATAAAAGCGATCGTAATGCTTTCAAGAGGTAAATCTTTACAGAACTTAAGACAACGTTAAAAAGTAGATTGAAATGTCTTGTGAATATGTATCACGTCAATTATTTACACGCGCAGCGGCCTCTGTAAGCTATTTTTAGATGGATCCTATGTCTTCATCGGTTCACGATTTTATTATAAAATTACTACTTTGATGTTATAGGTAACGTATATTTTAAAAGAAAACTGCGATTTACAAAGCAGTCATTTTCAATTTGACAAAACAGTGCAACTAGTGGTACCACATAAATGCTGTATTTCAAGTAAGCGCCTCCTTTCCGCATTCACAAGCCAGTTTGGTAAGCAGCCCGCACTTTAAAGTTGATCCATGAGAGTTTATGAAGCGCAAGGAAAATAACTTGTCTCTGCTGATCCATTTGTTATTTACATGGAAGACAAAAAATCCACAAAACATTACTGTTATCAAAACAGCAGGCAATTATTTAAACAGGCAGATAACTGATTTGCATTATCTAATGTTATTTTTAGGGACTATTAGTGTTTGCGAAAAGAGTGTAATTTTTATTTACAAATCCATCGACTGGTTGCCCACAGCTACACGCACTCCATGTCCACATGGCAAATAGATGGATCGAATTTCGTTGACGCTGCAAATTGCGTTATTTACCCCACTGTAAGTCGCTATCAAGTGAACTGAAATGTGCCGCTGTGACATCGTCAGTTTGCGGCTCATTTAGCATTGTTGTGGGCCCCAGCATGTGGTCTTGAACCACGCCGGGGCCACAGAATTAACCCTGGCCCGATTACGCTTCCCCGATATCCACGATGAAGAAAAATACTGGAGAGGACGTGGACACAACCATTTACTTCAGAGCTCAACAACGTTGGTGTCGTTGTCTTGTGTATGTGTATTTATACCTCAGATGTGGGTCATAGATGAGTTATGACACCGAGACCTAGGTGTGAGGATAACCCAAGATAAATATTTGTGCGAATGAGGGGGGAGTTGAGGATCCGTGCGGCTGGCGACATGCTGCGGAAAGGGGAACCCTGTGTCGGAGGTGGAGCGACCGGATTAAGGCGTTTGAATAAACACGATTCACAACAACTGCCGCCAAACCTTCTGAATTTATAGGATTCGCAACACATTCGTAAATTTCGGGTTTCCCGCAACGGTCAAATCTCACGGACCATTGGGGTTAAGAAACGATTACTCACTTGAAAGCGAGATCTATCAGTGGTTACTAACCGGTCCCTTTGGTGACCTGAATTTAGGAGAAATGAGGCTGACGTCTGGGCTTGATGGAGTTATTTGGATATCAGAAATAAGCACGGGTTAATATCCACGATTACACGTAGGTGCATCAGAAAGTGAGAAAGCTGTTCACTACACGGACGGTGTTCACAGAATGCCACTAATGTTAAGCACAGATCCTCAAAATATCTGTCGTACATGACCACTGTTGACTGATAGCCTTGGTGTGGAATAATAGTACACGCGCGTTTAGAGCGTTCCGGATCGTTTTACATCTTGTATGTATCCCCTATCATGGGTGCGATACTTTTTGCAGGCGATTATTGCACACGATTTCTTCCGAAAATAAGGTGATAGCGTGTCACTTGTCATAAAAAATCGTGTCATTTATTCATAAAAAATCGCCAGCTTTGTGAATAAGAAATGTAGCGGATTAACAGCGATCGCGCCTGAGTGAACCCTGGTTATTGACCTGACGGTGACAATGACTTATCCCCATTTCATTGGTTACTGTGTCAGAAGCCTGTCATCCGTTCACTCATAGACACACTAAGGCACACTTGGCTGGCGTGACGCTAATAAACGGTCGCGTCCTCTGTCGTCTCTTTTTCACTCTTCTCGGTTTTCGGGCTGTTAACTACAGAAAGTTAAAAACCACACAAAAATGGGTCCCTACGCCCTGTTCCAAACTCCCTTCGACTTCTACTATAATTAAACGCTTTCTTGAATGCAACCTTCGTTAAAAGGGTCTTACATGCATATCGGAGTAGTGGGAATGCTAAGGAAACGCAGGTGACCTTACCAGGTAAGCTTGCGGATTAGAGTACTGTAGCAGCACTTGGACAAACATTCACTAAAACGTGCACCGAATCATGCTGTTTTTTCGCAGTCAATTAAAGCTCAGTGGACAAAATACAGATGGCCAGTTTAAGCTGTGCGTTTTCCCCGTTGCTTAAGAGGGACCACCTCACGCGTGGTAGTGCGGGCAAAGTGGAGGCCGGAGGAACACGCGAATCCACGCGAAGCACAGCACTCCAACGCGTCGAGTCCGGGAGAGCAAGGGAAGGCAGGAACGCTGACTTCAGCATGAGGAATGAGTCGCGATGATTAGCGCCAAACATACGGAAGCAACCAGCAACATTTGCAAACAAAAATAACTATGACCGGTGGTACAAAAGGGTATTCGTGAGTGATCTAGCCAAAAAATTAGTAAAACTGACCAAGAGCAGGTAGTTTTTCTGGGGATATGAAAAGTTGAAAAACGGCATCATTACAGGGGACGCCACAGCATAGTGTCGCATGTAATGACGATAATTCACCCGTCACTCCACCAAAGCTGATTAGGGCTTTTGTGAATGTCTGAATTTTCACTTAGCTGTGTCTGCTTCACCCAACTGCTTGATTTGAGCACACTTTGCTCAGACGAGGGGTTCAAGGTAGCAGGACTTGTAGTGCAGCAAGGTTCGTCTTGCATCTACAAAGACGCGTCGCTATGGAGCGAGCAGAAAACCATCTACTAAATACCAACTTTGATTATTTCGAGGTCCGATGTCATCAGTCGAGTGTTTCTTCTGGAAAAACATACAGGATCAAATACACGAGGAGAATCGTATCGAAGTTACACGGGCGCTTCCATGGGAGTAACCAACACTCCATTGTTAGCGTGTTATTAGTGCCAAATATTGTTATGTGTTTTGATGAAGTGAAGTGAAAGTATTCTGGGCTTAGATCTCGTATCCCCTCATATTTGAACATTTGGCAAATTCTCTAACAGAAAACCAAGACCGGCAGTCGTATGGTTTGGTTTTAACGTCTGATTAAACGCGACTGCACCTAGACACCACTTTCTGCGTGAACAGCCAAAATCGGTTCCCGAATAAAAAACGACGGCTGTATAAGTTGCAGAATCAAATGAATGATGACAAATTCAGCTGTGAACAGCTTAATGATAGATGGGATTGGTTAGTACTTCATCAGGGATTTGAAATTTGCACTAAAACGATTCGATACACAAAGCATACACTTGCTGCCGCGGGATCTCCAAAAAGGTCAAATTTGGCCTTTTCCAGCAGAAATGTGCATACAGGAATACAGTACGCTTCGACGATGCATTTTAGTCAACCTCGAAAACAACAGAATTCGTACATCCAAGAACACATGACATGCTCATCAAGTCCATTAACGAAAGCCTTTTTCGCGTTATACGAAACACTACTCGAGGTTTTATTCAGTAGTTCATTCCATTAAATCAGTCTGTAGCCGATGCTGTGGTCTCCCACTTGATAAATTCGCCACCACTTTTTAAAGGCTTTAAATTTTCATGACACAAAAGGGGTTTTAATCTAGGTCGTAGGTGGATTTGCATATGATATTGATAAGAATATTTTTTAGACTTCTTAACCAATCTGAAGTCGTATCTGAAAATTGATTGATTGGAGTCCTCTGTAAATGAGCATCATTACTTCAGTTGGAACTGTGAAAAATAAGTTTCTTTAATGAAAAATGCAACTGCAAACCCAATCATTCATGAATTCCCAAATGCTTCGATCAATATATAAGTGCGCTAATTGTTTCGGGCCAAAATCGTTTTTTTCGAAATATTTTTTATGCAAGTAAAAATCTTTTGATATGAAATATTAAATTGCTAATTAACCCGAATCTAATTGTAAACCACATAAAATCTTTCCCCGTTGATAAGGGCTAATTAATTGTTTGGCGTTCATGATAATAGGTACGATTTTTCGTATTTAGTCGACACTAGATGTGTGCAATTGGTAGTGAACTTTAAATTGTGATTCGTGTGGAACTGTGCATGATGGAATTAAAAACGGGGCTTGGCTCAAATGCCCGTTAAAGAACCAAAATTTTTACATAAGAATGGAATATTGCATGCAGGTGCATTTGTGGAGTAGAAATGAAGTTTGTTTTATAACCAATGTGTTCCTAAGAAGTATTTACCTTATTTTGTTGACGTATGCTCAGTGGAGTTACACTTCTACACCCCACATCAATTGGAGAACACGAAAACAGAACCAAAAAATCCAGATTTTCATCACCAAACGACCTTACTTAATTAGCGATTTTTACTTCAGAGCATATAAAGATATTTGTGGATACATTGTCTAATGTGCTGATTCGATCAGTTCGTCTGTGGCGGCAGCGCAAAACCCGAGCTAAGTTATGGGCGAAATCCCCGGTCAAGTATTTCAATCTCTGTGTTCTAACAGCCCGATGTAGACGACCGAGGACACGTCCACATCAACAACTTGATGATTGGAGCAGCCGATAGTCACTTCGGTAGCAGTGGCAGCGAAGTGCACATTTCGCTTACGCGGTGTGCTCGGCTCTGTTGAGTTCACCATTCCTGACGCCGATATTGCTCACGAAGCCTCCCCTTCCTGGCTCCCACGGATAGACCGTGTCAGCGCTTACGACTGCCGACTTCAATGCCGTGTGTGCTACTGTGAATGCATGTGTTGACACACTCAGCCAAGTCATCGACGCGCCAATAAACGCACAAAAATGCACTAAGAGAGCATTTTGAAGGTAGAAAATAAGTGTGAATTGCAGGCAAAGAGAGGTAAAAAATCACAGATTTGACATTGAGGAGAGTGGTCGCAGTGGCCTTATTCAGTGCCCTTAAGCAGATGCCACTGCGGTGGTGGTTCGATGATGTCGGCCTCCACCAGGATAGCAAGCACCATGAAGACGGTGTAGGCGACGAGGAGAGTTACGCCGTAGGCTCGCCGCATTTTGAAGCCAGTACAAAACGCCACGATTAGGTTAGTTGTCAAGACGCCCATTAGGAAGGAGAAGAGCAGTGCGTGGGTCAGAGTAAACGACATCTAAATGAAAATAAAAGGAATTTTATGCCACAACAAATTTTGCGTAAATACAAGGTTTACACCGAGTGCCTAGCAAGGCAAACTCCAAGGACACTGTTACATAGAATTAATCCTACCATTAGGCAACCTGAAAGCAATGTTTTCTTGATAAAATGCGACTTGTTGCATTCCATGGCAAATAAATATCACAACAATCGGGGGTTTTCCGTTTTAGATTTTAGCACAATGATGGCCATGAATGGTCATTCTTAGCCTCCGCTTAAGTGTGAGGTGTTTAGCGTGTGTCTGATAAAGGTGATGGCTTTATTTGACGTACGGATGCATTGTGGTCACCAGATCGAGCCAGTTTGATTGTGTAGGAGGCGCCAGCGCCGATGAGGAGGTTAAACAGCGGTGAGCCGATGCAGGCAGCATAGGCGATTCGAGGATATCCGTTGTGAGCCAGTAAGGAATTGGACATCAGGTCTAGGGCACAAAACAGGGCGAGCTAGCCCTATTGGAAACCTCTGCGTGTGGGTTTTATGCATAAAAGCAGTGGAATGGTTGGACTCGACTAGGCTTAACTAGTCATTTTAACTATGCACACAAAAATGATGAAAGTACACAACATCAGAAGTGAATGGAATACGATTTGCTTAAACGAATAACCTAGGAAAACGTCCGGTTAAAGATTTGTTTCCACTAGAAGCCAGCATGTAGAAAAAGGAAAAGAGTAACAAAAAGAATTAATTTAACCGAACACTTTCAAGCAACACAATCTGACAGGAATATAGGGAAGTAGTTATTTCTCCTCATTTTTAGTGTAGAAGTTGGGTCAAACTTGTTCGAAAGCCCACACGTGAGATTTACCTCACGTTAGCTGTTGACGTCTAACAATGAGTTGAATGACCACAGTCTGGCATCTACAGTGCAATGCTGTTTGGCGGAGGGTTTGTTTTTTTAATCAAATACCTTTCCTTAATTGAATTTGGTTCAAATAAAGACAGAGTAATCTGTCCTCAAACTCTGGGTAAACCAAGTTTATAGTGAATTCATTCCATCCAAAGTGAAATTTGATTTCCAACACATGATTTTGCCAATCAAAGAAGTCTCGGTCACGTCTTCTCAAAATTGCCAACAAGCACTCTTAAGACTCGTGCACGAAGGCACTGACGGCGTTCCCCTGGTGCTAGGGGAGCGTCGCGTGTAGCGATCGCGTGTACGCCAGAGCACCAATCGTCGTGTCAAGTGTGCTAGAAAGCGCCTACCGGTCACACGGGTTTGCATGTTGAAAATGCCTTGTAATCAATCAAGCTCAAAATACACCCTAATTTGTAAGTTTCTATGTCCTCTTCTGGTCCATAATGTACCGTGAGCTCAATCTGAGGTGGTGTCATGCCAATTAGCGTATATGGCACATTGATTTGGCGCTTCCTTCGGAGCTATTAAGTGTTAAAGAACATACGCGGCTAAATGAGTGCACAAGTCGCGATGGTTCGGCACATTTTGAGAAATTAGTAGTGGAATTTCTGATGCTAAAAAATGAAGACCAGCTTTGTACAAAGTTGCTAAAGTGAATTGTACATCTAGCGGATATTAAGCCAACCAAATTTACGAGGGATAACAACGTGAGGAGAAAGTGTCTTTTTACAGCTCGTGGCTTTATAGTTACTCGGGTACAACGTTTCTCGTGATTTCTACGAGACTGTCCAAGCCGGTATGTAAAAGTCTTTAGACATGATGGAATCAAGTTGGGAAAACTAGGTTTTAGAGCTTTCCCATGGTAATCGAATGGTAATAAATAATTTAGTTGACAGATATGTAGTGTCAGGGAAATGATTTTAATGTTATGGTGGCTATGTAACCTAAACCACAAGTCATACAAAACGGCCGGAACTTCGAAAAGGCCAAAGAGTGTCCATGTTTGGAACACTAAATGATAGCCTCAGAATTAGGCTAAAACGGCAAATTCCATCGAGAATTTTCCAAACCAGAAATCGCCTTCGTATTCACGCAAGTTTGGTAGCCTGATTTTAAAATATCACGATTCCAAAATCACAATCAACCTGCGTGCGGTGAGAAATTAATGAGTCTATGCCACTGAAATTTAACAGGTTCATAATTGTTTTAACAAACACATCTGACTCTAAACCTCATCGCCTGAAATGATCAATTACCAAAAACATGTTTATTGATCTAAAATCTGTCTTTAATGATTCAACAGGTAATTCTCATGGCCTAAATGGTTTCGTAAAACTTCAATTATAGATAAGACACTTACCACTTATGGAACTAGCAAATGCCATGACGGTGATACCCAGGATGGCTTCACTAATTCCCCAAACAATTCCGAGGGCTTCCAATGAGTTGACCAGTTCGTGGGCGATGGCGTAGATCCACACAATTGAGGTGAGGAATCCCAAGGTGGAGAAGAAGGGCCGGTGGTATGGCAACGGTGCTCGGTCCCACCTTGATGTCACGAAAATTGTAATGGCCAAACCGGTTGAGATGAGAAGGACTATTACCACCACAGGGAGGTTTGATCCGCCAATCTTATACAGCCCGAGAGGAGTGCCACCAACTGCAAAGATGACCAAGTGGATTTTGACACAAGATAGTAGATAGTTCCTTGAACCGTGAATGTTTTCAGCTCTTCTGATTGCAGATCATCCCTTCTCTTCACCAGCAACAAGTAGTCTTGCAAGTGTACAGATGTCACAGCATCTGAGACGTGTATCACAAGTATTGAGTTGTGGCATTGAGTGAGGTCCCACAAATTCATGCAACCACACAAACACTGAGCCTACTTGCGTCTCCATGTCACTCTAAGTGGATTTCAATTGTTGTGGGCGTGGCACAATCGCTCTGAGATTTCTCGTGGACAGGGGTTTGAGCAAGCGTCTTCTAGAACAGTCGTGCTAAGTTAATTGTGACGTGTGCAATCTGCTAAGCATTCCACACCAGACATTTCACACATCTCCTCGTCATCTTCAGTGCCTCTCTTGCCTGCTTGAAACAAACAAATATGATGCATCAAACACGTTGTCAAAATGCAGCCAGAGCGTTTGATTGAAAATCGAACTAATAGGTGAAAGCAGAGGTGCGCGTAATTTGCCTTCAAATTAGGCCAAAGTGACAGTTATAAGATGTCAGAAGGCAAAGTCAAAACACTGACAGGTGGCCTTCACAACATGCTTATCGAAATCGCCTCTCTACCAACTCAGCACTCGGATAAGTGAATCTAATTAACCTCATTCTCTTGACCCATGTCTCGACAGAGAGCAACTTACTGCTATCTCTCAACGCACTGACAAGTCTGCCCTATCACTTAAAACGGTTATTTCTACAAATAAGGCCGGACACAATTGCATCGCAGTGTTACATTTCAACAGAGGTTGGGTTAGAATTAAAAGATTCGAAGACGACATCCTTCCCAAGTAATGAGGTATTTAAGAACCAATGGAGTCACACAAACCCACTTCTCTGATGATGTATTGAGATGTACTGCGAGTACGTGATAAGACGTCTCCCGTGTGACAGCCCGATCCATGCATCTGATTCAAGTCATCTTCAAATTTACGCGCGAGCCTCAGCCATGTGAGCACTCTCGGTCTTAGCATCTTTGTTTTTGTTCACGTATTTATGGTTATGGAAGAAAAATGAACTGGTGTAACTCGCGTCCTCATGCGACTTTCTGCATTTCAGGCTCTGGGCTGCTGGTAAACACGGTGACCGCAGGTCTCATTATGATAATTCGACCTTTCACCACAAACCGCCGACCATTCATAAAAGACGTTCTCTTCTACATGGCAGCGGTGAGCTGGAGTGCTGCTATTCTTGTGCGGCGCACGATCTACCTCAGCGACTCTGTTGGTAAGACTCGATGCGATGGGAAAAGTGTTTTAGGGAGGACCTAAGTCAAATTTGTGCTTTCCGGTTTTTCATCTATGGGCCTTTCTGTGCATTTCATCTGATTTGTACCTTCTAATACCCTTTAGATTGCATTGGTTTAAATAGCTCCAATTTTTTTGATATTGATTACAAGTATGGAAGCTCCTTGTGGTCAGTTTCATGAATTTCACCGTGCACATGGTATTAAGTAATGTTCGGGAGATATTAAGTTTATATTTTTTGGAAATCAATCGTCACCATGCAAGTGATAATACACATTTCGGTATTTAATTAGATTTAGGTTATTAAAGAGAATCGAAATATTGATGGGAGTAGTAAATGTTGCATTATTTTCTAGAGAGACAGGGAATTGTGTTTAATATAATTCTAATCCAGAGACATTTAAAGTTTCCTCTCGAGAATTCGAAGTGCCGATAGAGGAACACAAAATTGTTTCACAGGACAACATTGCTCAAATGTTATCCGGAGTCCTAAGTATTAAGAGGAGACAAACGGTGACAAGAACACCTGCGTATTTTGTCCATGGTCAGTATGCTTAGTGCGCCGCACGCCAGGTCGTAATTTTATAGAGTAACGTGAGGGCGCTGGAGATCAACTTTGTGCTTTTCATGCGCACACGAATATATATGCTCAGACAAGCTGTTACTGATCGGCATCCAGTAATAAGTTAGGAAATTGATGGTTTAGAAGTTTTACGTATCAGCGTGTGATTTGGAGTCCAATGAAGGATAGTTTTGGCAGATTTTAACAAAGGCTTCATGCTATAATTTTAGATGCATTATTACCAAATGTCCTATATTCAGCTTCATAAATTTGATTATCATTGCACTGTAATAATCGGCCTTTGAAAAGCTGAAAGTTGCACAAAACTTTGCCTAGAAATGTCGAGTTAGGAATTCAGATGAATATACTGATGCGACCTTGTTATTAGACATCTGTTTCAAGTGTGTATAGTTGGAAGGTATTTCGGCAAGCCTTGAATGGTAATCGATTGCGTTATCCCTTGGCATGGTGCCTTGGTTAACTCAGTACTTTTGAATGACATTTTCTTTTGCTTATCACTATGAGTATAAAGATTTGTGTTATTTACGCTTTCATCATGCACCCGTGACCATATACAGTTGCGCTTAATGCAATGAAAGTGTCGCCTTTAAAAAACTTCCCGCTGCCAAGATTAAAGCCTGTGACAACCACCACAAATTCCCCATTTGATAAGCAATATGAAGTTGACAATGCTGATTAATTGACTTTAATTTAAACTCTAATTATTTGGTAGAAAATTCGGAGTCGCAGATGGTCTACAGCTTTTAGGTTTGATGGCTATCGCTGATAATCATACCCCAGGTACATCTATGGACTAATGCTTCGATACGCAAACCTCATTTGACCTTTGCTGTGATTTTCAAAGAGTGATTGAAGCACATTCTGCAACAGAGTCTGCTGATGTGTGCGCAGAGCACCACATTCGAGAATGTTTCGCAGATCCAGAGCCTTCACTGACACTTTCCTTGCATCAGCATAGTTGACTTTTTGCCAAGTTTTAATGATGTTAATGACGTACTGCCTGTTCAGAAAACACCTAAGCCACTCTAGTTTATTTCATATAAAAGGCTCATTTTGTCTCCTATGTTGAACCCTTTAAGGTGGCTTACTTGAAAAGTATACTGCGCAAAAGAGCGAACCCTAGCTCGCTACAATAATGACACCTTAGGCTGTAAGTTGGCCGCAGGAAACTGCGTGTTCATCCACAAAAGTACCCGATGCGCAATTCACATTAGAGGTGAGGAAATTGCTTACAGAATGATTATTGTTTACGCTAAAGGAAAGGTTCGTTATGACAGCTTAATTGCGCAATATTCTGTGAGCCCAGTTTACACGGTAGAATTATATTTATGGATTTGGTCCAATTATAACTATCCCTTTTGTAAATTTATCAACTAGTCACGTCAGCGACTTGTCTTCATAAACAGACGTGCATAAATGAAATAAGAAATGGGGGAATCATTTGCCAAAAGCGAGTAAACAAAAGTGATGTTTGATTGTCTAATTCCAGAGGAGCATCAAGCACAACAACCTCGCTCGACTGCTGATTGTTGCACTTCGAGCTATCAGACAACAAAACAGGTTAAAACACGTCTCGATATAGTGGGTGGATTAATGGATGTGCCGTTTCCACCTCTGCATCAAGAGTATGCTAAAGTGGCTCGATTTATTAATCGAATTTTGTGTCAGTATCACTAAGAGTGGCTTGATATTGGTACACATTGGACTCTCTATGTTACCTTCAGCTGCCCCCATTCACTGCGTTTTTTTGCTAATTTAAAGTGTCTTGAGTTTTTACTACTTTTGGCATCTCACGTGATCAGCATGATTGGCTGGTTATAATATGCATCTCGTGGGTGATTTTTTTGAGGTAAAGTGCGATGTGCTTGCCCTTAATGCCAAAATAAAGCTTCGTTTTTGAATCCATTATATCTATGTGAACAACAGACACCCGGTTGCACTGCGTTCTTTACAATTACTGAGAGAAGGACTAATAAATCCACTCCATAAGTTGATAACTCAGGATACACAATCTCTTTACATCATAAGTTGTTGATCTTACCGGCATTTTAAATTAACTGAACGGTAGTAAAAGTATATTTACTCGTAAGTTTCTCACGAAAATGGGTCCACAAAATTTTATTGTTAAAAAAAGCGTTTGGGTAGATTCGAATCACACAAGCCATCATTGTAGTCTTTTCTAGTTATTTTTTTCGGAAAATATCAGCCTATCTTTTAATTATTCCGTAGGTTTCATAGGACTTTACCTCATGTATGTTGTGACCACCTGGGCAGCCGGCCACGTGCGGCTAAAGAGATCTAACAGCCAGGCCTACAGACGATGTGCCGCATTTTTTCAAAATCTCAAGAACGTTCTCATCTGTACTCGCAACTCGCCTTCCACTGCCAACACTAAGGAAGAGGACGAGAAGACTTCGACTGCCAGGGGCTGCCACCAGTCTCTCTGGAGGCGGCTGCGAGGCCTCTTGGTTGTACGGAGGCCCGTTCCCGATGGCGCCACTGCGGAAGACCTAGAAGGGTGTTCCAAAAAAGGCGACGTAGGACCTGACCTCTTTGAATCATCCCGACGGAATGACAACCTATTCTCTGATAATGACAGTAAGGCATTTATTCTAATTAGTTGCTGAGTAAATTTTCAGTTGGCATCTGAGGGATTAAGTTTGGCACCAACTAGGAGATGTCCTGGTGTCATGCCGGTAGCCAAAACTTTTTGATCTGGGTTCTGCTCAAAATGTAAACATGGAATGTAAAGTACCACCATGAAATAAGGTCTGTGTACCTCTGCCAAGACCTTAAATTGGAGAAGTTACTGGAAACCTTTCTCGCCATTGAATTCATAAATCCATCTTTTATCTTTGTTCTTATGAGTAAGCATTTCAAGAAAAAGTGGATGGTAAGGGAGTTTGTGGTGGAATACTATGACGTTTTGGGACTTACGCAAGTTTTCTTGAGTTTGACACCGGGAATTTAAATTTGTCTAGCTCTTTATTTTAAAGCACTATTCATGGGCGACAAAAAATGATAATATCATCCTTAATGAGTTGGCAGAGCTAGTTACTGACAGCAGATTTTATCAGCTTTCAGGTTAAATAGGCGGCTTAAATGAGATAGATTTGTTGACAAAATTCCGAAGGCATTTTACCACTTTTTTCATTGACCTCCATTAAAATTTCGATGCATGTTTACCCGTAAATTGACGTTACAATATTACGATCAAATAATTGGTAAAAATCTCTTGTGCTCAAGTTGTTATATAATAAATTTACCAAAAGACATTCCCTGAAACAGTCTAAGTCATGTTTGCTACAGATTTGAGTCAATTAGTATGTCTGATATTGGGGGTTTCGCTAGCTTGTTTTTGCTTTCTAGTCAAAATTGTGGGTTTTCGAAGACGACCGAACCCAATTTGCACTCCCACGGCCTCAACTCGCAACGGGAATCGCAGATCCCCTTTGGGCTTCCCGCGTATTGAGGTCACCTCACCTCCAGTCGAAAGCAGTGCCACCCGGCCCCCTTCAATCTCAAAAACCCCATCTTTGCATCAGAGTTATCTTGCTCCTCCACGAGATTTCCTTGACCTACCTCAAAGGCACCCCCGGCTTATCCACCCCCTCACTCCCCCTCATTCACCTACCCTTAAAACTGACCGGAGTTCCCTCCAGAGAACACTGACACCCCCGGTCACCTTTTTGGGGCACGGTCCTGCCCTTGGTGGATCGAACTCGGCAACAGTTGCCTCTTCCTTCAGAAAAAGGGCTTCAGTTGGGGGGATAGGGCTGCGTACTCGGACGCCCAGCATGAGCCAACGGCGTGGAAGCAGACGAATGAGCACTATGGAGCAATTACCGTTTATCGTTAGGTGGATTATTGGTATGTAAAGAGAGCTGCATTTCTGATAGTACTTACTCCAACAATCATTGGTTTAACTTGGGCTGGGTGTTGACTGTCATTGGTGTCATCTGGCTGATAGAAATCAAATTCAACTTTACAGACAATCCTAGCACACGATTCACCGTTATTTCACTACAAAATGCTTTTGTGAGACTAGGTTAATGTAAAATTCGGGGGAGGTAAGTCGCATTGAAATAGTAAAACACTTTTAAGAACCTGATTGATATTATTCGCTGTTTGGAGTGTGCTTGATTCGTGACTGCCACGGTAAATTTCAACACTTGAAAGTTCATTCCACAAGTAGTTCGCTTTCATTTCGGACGAGCAAAGCACGAGTGAGTGGCAATGCCAATTAAGCCTTGTGAGCCCACACCGCGGCTTCATCAGCTCCGGAAGGTGATGCTTAAAGACGTTTAGATCACTTCACCATCTATTTCGAATGCTGGAGTCTGATTTGCGCTGAAGCCGAATTGGTATCGCATGTGCAAGTCTGTGGTATAAAAATTGGGACAGTTACTTAATAAATTACTTGGTAGGGATGTTTTGCACTACAACTCATAAAATTCAGCTTTTCGTAAATTGTTTGCGTATCTATTTTAGCTAATGCTGAAGCTGAAGACCGGGAATGTGAAGATGGTAAGTTTCGTGTGGTTCTACAAATCGACAATTCTGGTTACATCATCATCAAACTGCATTTAAATAGACACTAGTTTATTCAATCGTTCCTGATGGTCTTGTTTTGAATAGAAAAATACTTCGTTAATTGGAAAATCTCGCAACAATTCACATAAAAGCGGTTAAATCAAGTCTGAAGGCTCACGAATCAGTGATTTACAGAATAATTAATCGAATTCTGGTAGACCTTCAACCAACTCCAGAAGTGCATCTCACTAAAAATGGTTCATTTGAAGGGTTCGGGGTCTTATCATCAATTGTACTACTTTGTAATGTGTAATTCATTAAGGATGTGATGAAATAGTGTGCTTTGCAGATGTTAATTACTGCTCAGAATGTCCAGAAAATTTTAAGGTGTTTATTTGACGATAACTCCACGTATTTGCATGCTTTTAGGTACAAATGTGGTACCAGTAAGCATGGAAGATACTACAAAGGAGTCTTTTTTCAAAAGTAAGAACCAAAATTTGACCAAAAACATCTTATTGCGTGAATGCTTGCTCTTTTGCAGTGATTTTGAGTCAGCAACTTAGCAGCTTTCCCAGTTTTTGTTGCTAAGAAGGCTTTGTTGGGACCAAGATTTTTTCAAATTAACAAGAAACTCTAACCGATGCAAGATTTACTTACCTCAGGTGAGGCTACACGTTAATTGGTATTTCTTGTAGTCCACTAGAAAAACAAAAACAACACCAAAGGGTTCTGCATGACAAATGAATTGTCTGCAATGGTCATTCCCAGCAACCCTGCTAATCTTGGGAAACATGAAGTTTTTGGTTGTTTACAAATTAATTGATCCATATCTAGCATTATCTATAAGCAGCGCAGTATTTTCCCATTTGTCATATTTTAGGAAACGCTGAAGTCAAATGGCGCTATCGTAATATCTCCGATTCAACCCACACACCCGACATCTCTTCTCTACATACCTTTACCCAGGATCACTCACAATCGCGTAGCCCAACTGTCTCCTTTCTCGACGAACATTCATCGCGCAACCACATGCCCCATTTACCACCACTTTACCACCGCTACGGTGGCAATCACGAGCTCAAACGTATTTCGTCTGTGTCACTGCCTGACCTAGAAGAAATCGACAAAGATGCTGGAACTGGTTTCAACACACCTACAGAAGCAAGATCACGTCTAGGTAAAGAGGAGTTGAGTGTAAAGGAGGCTACAGAACTTTCCGGGTCGAAAATTGCTAAAAATGAGGGCAATGATGAGGAGGAGGAGGAGTATCTTGACCCTTTTGTTCAATGGGCAAGCCGAGGAATGTGGCATCATCTGCTTTACTGTCTTTGCCCAATAGATATTTCTGAGTGGAAAAATCTCTCCATACCTGTCAAAATACTTCAAATTATACAGGCACCAATATTTATTCTTTTCCGACTGACTATTCCTGTAGTCTATGAAGACCTTGAACCTACGGTACCTACACCAAAGGGTGTCGAAATTCCAGTTAATGAAGAGGGTGGTAATGAACACACTGACACTAATGTTGAGGCTGGTTTGGAGGTGGATGTATCACAGAAACATTCGGAAGCGAACGACGACGCCGAAGAGGCGCGTTCACATCCCGATTTTCCACTGGTCGATTTTGAGTATCTGCATGGGTGGTGCCGGCTGCTCAACTGCTTCCAATGTCTTCTTACGCCTATGCTCTGGGTCCTTCTCATAACAGGTGAGGGAAACATTTGTATCAATTTGACAGTGTAAACGCAAAATGAAGCTATATAAAAATTTGTATGAAAGAGAAATTTAAAACTGCACGACAGAGTGTCACAAAGACTGATAAAGAAGATTTGATTGCATATTTTAACTAAATATATTTTTAAAAAAATTGTATTTATTTACACTGAAACAAATCAAATGCATAGCTTGAAATAAAACTAGCAGATGAAGAACTGGAAAGCACCAGTTTGACTTGGGTCCTCCCTAAAACACTTTTCCCATCGCATCGAGTCTTACCAACAGAGTCACTGAGGTAGATCGTGCGCCGCACAAGAATAGCAGCACTCCAGCTCACCGCTGCCATGTAGAAGAGAACGTCTTTTATGAA